GGGTGCCTGCCGTCTGTGTGTATTCTCCACTACCTGACGGTGCAGTCTTCCTGCAACACACACTTCAGTTCCTGCTGGCTTGTCGCGGGGCATCCGCGACAATTGTCTCATAGCCAATCCTAGATCTGTTTTTAACGTACAATTTATTTACTTTTATTAACCAATTCTGGATGAAATATTTTTTAGCGAAAGTCTTGTTTCATGTAAAAAAGTGAGGGGGATGGAGTGAAGATTTCCCGGCAGTTAATTTTGTTGGAAAATGTACATCAAAAATCAAACACCAACTCATTCCTCTCTAAAAAATCCCACTAATCATTTGGTTGTAGTACTCTTTGCTCTCTCTACTGGTCTCCTGAAACAAAATTTTGCGCCATTTTAAGCTTTTGAATACAGCACGGATTTTTCCTTTGATAATCTTGGATTCTTTTAAATTATTTAGCTCCTACCTTTGAAACTATCCTTTACCGTAGACAAAGGCACATTTCCTTACGAGCTAAGAAATTCACAGGGCCCGTCTACAGACAAGGCATTCTCGGCCGATTTATTTGAACAACCGAGGACAACAACTGTGGAACACTGCAAAAATTTTTATAAAATAGAGGACCATGAGAAGAACTGTATCAAAGATAGTCGGTCAAAATTCTTTAAAGGAGAGAAGAAGAAAGCTGATTTCTTAGTGAAAATTATAACAAAAAATTTGAGAGAAACAATTCGGCCCTCGAAGTCGACCACGTATCTTTATGTATATATGTATATGCATATATATATGAATATATATATGCATATACATATATATTCCTATCCTATCCAACGTTGTATTTTACTGGAAAGCAGATTTTTCCAGAGTGTGTAGGGCATGGAGAAAAGAAGGATGCCGAGTGCTGAAGCGTCGCTATGCAGATAAGATACTCCATTTACAGGGCGGTACCAGTATGTCCACGGAGGACTGGAAATTCTTCTTAATATGCAGTAATTGGCTTCAGGAGGTTAAATTTACTTTACCACATTTTTTGCATAAATGGTAGAAAAAAAAAATAGTGGATGTGTGTTGGAACTGAAAGTAAGTCATCAGTGGTACTTGCAAAGAATTATACTGGAGGAGAACAAGGAGGAAGGGGATAAGAAAAATGGTTCTGAAACGTTTTAAAGTTTAGCTGCTCGAGAAGTGAAGCACAAAATGCTGCTAAAATACCATGTATTTTCAGAAGACAAAACTTTTTTCGTATTCGCTTTCCATGCTAGGCAGAAACACTCGAAAAGTTGCCCAAACAGTGGCAAGTGCCAACAATAGCTATCTACTAGCAAAAATGTCCATGGCTCCTTTTTTGCGGGCTGCTTGCTGCTGATAGGTTTGACTCATTCTTATATATCAGTACCAGTTTGTCATCGAAAAATGAGGTTGCCTCACTGGTAGAGTCAAGCCTTTGATCTGCCGCACGACAACAGCACGGCTTCCCATTGCAGCATACTCTCAGCACTTCTAAATGAATATTATGGCCAGTTTATTATATAAATATATGGCCCTTTGGTAGATCTTTTGTATTAATCAAAGTTTTTCAATATGAAAAGATTTTTAGAATCAATGCTGGCAACCAGGACTTGCACTAATCTTCAAAAAACCATCATGTTTTCTGACCGATTCAGTGCTGAAATGCGCGAATCCAGTGTTGCCGTTTGGAAAAACCCGTTGCCCATACTTCTTCGCGAGCCCCTCAACAACTAGTATTTGTTTCATAATTTA